GGCTTTTTGGTGCTTGGTGGATCTTGTTCCTGGCTTTCTCCTTGTGCTTGACAATGGCTTCAGCAAACCCTTCCTCCTATGCAAAAGTCACCATCAGCACTAGCGGGCCTCCTGCTAGCAATCCACCTACCGAGGCTGACTCTGAGCTCGATGAGTTCTTTGCTGCAAATCCTGGGAGGCTGTATGGTGCATACGTCACATACCCGAGCTCTTTCAGCAAGCTCCAGGACAACATCATCGTAGGCATCAGAGACACCATTACCAAGCATAAGAGCAAGTTCAGTGATGAGGGGTCATACTCTGCTGAATTCAAGGGAGGGACTGCCTCTAGACGTGATCTTCACAGGATCCTCGTTGCCTTCACTGAGGAAGCAGATCAGCAGGCCTTCAAGGACATTCGGCATGTGGTTTTCGAGGATGACAAGGGGGGCCTGTTGCATGCCCAAATCGGGCAGGACAGGATCTCGTATGAGGAGATTTTGGGGAACAAGGGGGCAAAGGGTGCCGAGAAGGTGTTCATAGTGCTGAAGAAGATGCCAGACAGCTGGACTCAGAATCAGATTGTAGCAGCCTTCACCACCTTCACTTGGAAGGCTAGAGGGTTCACACACCCCTTTGTCTCCCAGTTCAGCAAGATTACATGGTTCTGGCACAAGAGTGGTGTCCAGAGGAGGATGTTGATTGCAGAGGTGATCCCCCATGAGGAAGACCCTAACTGTGAGAAGGTGCCGTCCGTCCACAACCCCAAGCCTGGGAAGACGGCCCGTTCATCATTGGGTGCAGTCTTCACGAGTGCGAGCTGTGTGGTCAGAAAGGCCATCGGGCAGAAGTGCATGACAGTTTCAAGGGCAGACCTGCACTCAAGAGGAAGAGGTCTGCTCAGACGGAGGGTCAGGCAGAGGGCAATGACAAGAGGCGTGCAGTGAGTTCAAGTTGTTCTCAGCTACCAGGGGCTGCCGGTCATGCATTCTGTGTGTTGTGCTTGTCACAGGTTGTGCTTCTCGGAAACAAGTGGCAATTTCTACTGTCTCGTCTATTAAAGGTTTCTGCATTCACCTTTGTTGCTTCTGTTCACTCTGCAAGATTGATGTGTTCATCTCAGACTTCCCTGTCTTGTCTACAGTGCTAAGGTGCAGCAACTTTCAATGGACTGCTGTTTTTGTTCCTGAACTCCTCACAGAGCCGTTTTCTGCCTCAGATTGGGTGTTTTCAAAGCTTGTTTTTCAGAAAAATCGCTCCGGCATCTTCTTCCGCTATCGCTCCAGAATCTGGCTCCGCATCGGGGGCTGCCGCCCCCGAACCCCCGCTGAGACATGTGTCTTAATTGCTTTTCTCAAACAACTTGCACCACTTCTTTCCCCTCAGCAAAGACCGAGCTCATGGACGAGATCGAGAAGGACAAGTACGTCAAGTATGTGGCATCGGACGTCTCCCGCGAGGCGTGGAAGTGTACTCTCTGCAAGAAGGCGGGCAACGGGTTCTATCGGTGCTACCGTCATGTCAAGGGCTCGGATCACATGGACGCGCTGGCGGATCTGGTTGCTGAAAAGACGGAGACGGACGAACCTGTCGAGAAAGAAGATGCGGCTGGGGATGCTGCATGATCCCCGTATCAAGATCGTAAGCTATACCCATACTCTCCTCTCTTCTGGAAATGAGTAGACATCGTCTTGCTCATAATCAAACACTGCCAGCTCCAAACTTGTCCACTGCAGTACCTACGGCTATCCATTGCTCTTTGAACATCAACGGCATCAACAAAAGTATCAAACAGTCGCAGTTGAACACTATGCGTAAGATCCAGGGCTGGAAGGTTCTTTACTTGACTGACACTCGTGTCTATAAAGTGGATGAGATCCCCAAGATTGAGAGGTCACTAGGAGTCACTTCTGGGTTTTGGAGTCTCGGAAGTCCACACAGTGCTGGAACAGCCATTCTCTTCTTCATGCCTATGAACATTTTAGCGAGCTACAATGATCCTAAAGGACGTTATACGAGAGTTGATTATGTTTGGGAGGATTCTGAGTATTCCAGTATTGCTGTTTATGCTCCCGCTGTTGCGCGCGATCGCCAAAACTTCATTAGTACAGATCTGTCGGACTTTTTCGATTCGAAACCACTTCTTGAGAAAACCATCATTGCAGGTGATTGGAACTTTGTCTCCGATCCCTCGCTTGACCGTCGGTCTCCTAATGTTTCAGGTGGACAGGTTGGAAATCTAGAATTTGAAGAAATGGCTCAAAAGTACGACTTAATTGACCTCTTCAGACACTACCACCCCACTAGAAGGTCTTTCACCTTCTCTTCTTCTCAGTTCAATATGGCTACACGTATTGATCGCTGTTACATCAACAAAGATATGCTTGCTTTCACACACAGCTGCAAGCATCTCACTCTACCGTCCTCGATTTCAGACCATGAAGCTGGAGTCTCTTTTACCATTCGGGCAATCAACGCTTCAACAAAGGGTCCTGGATATTGGAAATTGAATGCCTCTTTGCTGAAGAGGCCTGGGTACAAAAAACTCATCGAAAGTACCATCAATGACTTTAAGACTGCTCGGGATGCATATCCCAATACCAAATCTTGGTGGGAAAGCTTGAAGTATGCCATTCAAGTTGTCACTCAACCGTATGCTAAGGAGCAAAACGGGCGTAGAAAACGGACAATCGACTCCTTGGAAAAACAAATTTTGTCAATTGAAAATGATCTGTGTTCTTCTGCTTCCGATTTTTCTGAATTTAAGTATGAAGAAGGCAAGATTAAGTCAAATGTTGGCGGACTATTACAATGATATTCATGTGGCAGCGCAATTGAAAGCAGGCGCTAAGCATGCTCTGCATGGGGAAAAACCTACTGCTTACTTTTCCGCTTTGATCAAGGCAAGAGCTCAGAAGTCGCTCATTTCTGAAATTGATCCTGGTGATAATGCTATAGTTCTTACTGACATCAATGACATTCTGCTTGAAGCCACCAACTTTTATTCTACGCTTTACAAAGCCAAGGACACACAGAAGGGTACTCAACGCTCGCTGTTTTTAGGTGCTATGAATGCATCTTTAGGTGAAGCTGACAAGTCATTTTGTGATAAAATAGTAGAAAAGGATGAAGTTTTGGCGAGTTTGAGAAAACTAGCTAATGGTAAAGCACCTGGTGTGGATGGCTTACCAGTCGAGTTTTACAAAACCTTCTGGCCTTCGATTGGTGATGCTTATATGGATCTGCTCGTGGAATGTTTTGAGAGTAGAGAACTTCCTCTGACTATGCGGACGAGTATCATTACGCTGATTTATAAGAAAGATGATCGAACAAAGTTGAAAAACTACCGGCCAATCTCGCTTCTCTGTGCTGATTACAAAATTATTGCTAAGGTTATGGCTGAAAGAATGAAAAGAGTAATGCATAAGCTTGTATCCGATGACCAAACGGGCTTCGTTCCAGGTAGAAACATCAATCAGAATATCATCACCTTCTTGGAAGTTCAAGACTATATGCACAACGCTCAGAAGTCAGGTTTCGCTTTTCTAGCTGACATTGAAAAGGCATTTGATTCGGTATGCCGCGATTTTCTTGAAGCTTCGCTCAGAAGATTCAACTTTGGAGATTATTCAATTTCATGGTTTGTCACTCTTCACAATAGATCCACTGCAAAAATCATTATCAATGGCTTTTTGTCACACAGCTTTGAAATTTCTTCCGGTGTCAGACAGGGTTGCCCCTGGGCTCCACTGTTGTTTCTAGCGGCCACTGAACCTTTGGCATGTAACATTCGCAACTCTCGGATTGGACTTTCTTTACCGCAAGGTCTCCTCTCTTACAAAGGCTATGCTGACGATACATGCTGTTACCTGGCAGATATTCCACAGATGCGCAAGTTGCTTCAAATCTTTGCATCATATAAAGAGGTTTCAGGCCTGAAATTAAATGAAAGCAAATCATCGATAATACCTTTAGGTACCTCCACGGGTATGCTAAAACCTGCAAACATTCCATGTAAATGGCTCTATCCGGGGGATCACGATAGATTACTTGGCATACAAGTAGGAAGCCTTTACAGTGACGATATTCTGTGGAACGAAATGATCCAAAAGTTCTATAGATCAATTCGCCAATGGATTCCTAAACACCTTTCAGTCTATGGTCGAATCTGTGCAGCTAAAAGTTACATCGCGAGCAAATGCTGGTATCTGGCTTCTGTAATTCCGCCACGACCAAAAGCCATTTCAAAAATACAAGCAATTCTTTGGAACTTCATCCAAAACAATAGATGTTTTG